ACCATTGGAGAGAGAGATGGAAAGGGGATGGGAAGCATATCTGCCAGTGACTCTCCGAATCTTGTCCCATATGAATTCAAATTCGATGACGAGGAACTCACTTTGAGACTAATAATGGCTGGAGACGGCTTGAATGGGTAATGAAGAAAAACTTTAATATAAGTTTAACATAACAGCAAATGTACAACGTTTCGACAAGGTTTTGTCATCATCAGGTCATCTTCATTACCCATTCAAGCCGTCTCCAGCCATTACTTGTCCCATATGGTTATGTAACTGGTGGTAAAAGAGATGCTAGTAGTGAACTTAATCCAAGACTCTTTCTGGCTTTGACGTCGGACTTGCCGAGTGTGGGTAGAGGCCCGCTGATAACCTATGCAGCTAGAAAGAGAGGGATACCGTCGGAAGGTATCCCAGGCCCGTTTTTGAGCCTTCTGTGCCTCCTGGTAGGCACGACTCCATTATAGACGAGGATACCGTGGAACACGTGTCGATGTCTAAGAAATATAGTGAGAAGCTGCCTGGACGAAACAGTCAGCCGCAACTGCTACACAGTCGTCTATTGATGGAAGACAGACAATGGCAGCATCAAGTTCAGAGAGAGTGGTGAAAGAGGGCCAGTCAGCCTGGTTCATCCTCCGCTGTGGCACTCGGGTCAGGTGGCATCGACCATGGCCAATCTCCCTCAAAACAATAGGAAAATGGTCACAGCCCCGTGGGTCACTGTCAACCCTCCAAACAAAGAAGGATAAAAGTGAAGGGGAACAGATTGATAGATCGATGGCAGTAAAAGACTGACTAGTTGTATGAAAATTAGTATAATAACCAGTATTGAAGAGAGAAAGGTTGTGATTTGAGAGCACATGCTCTATGGAACGACCACTCCCATCAATATCAGCACCACCCCAGATGGAGTTGTGTCCATTAAAGTCTCCCAGGATTAAAAGACAGATGGCAACTGGTGAATGAGAGAATCAAGGTCTGATTGATCATAAGTTTCTCCAGGAGACAAGTAGAGAGAACAAACAATGATGGTATGACCCAAGGAAACATGAGTTGCTATGGCTTCCAAGGGTGTATCGAGTAACATAGATAAGGTGAACACGTGCTGGTCGAACAGCAAGGCCACCCCTTTATGCACTCGTCCATCACACAACCTGTCACTCCGGTACAAAGAAAACTGCTGAAAGATGACTGTATTGGCAGGTTTCAGAAATGTTTCCTGTAAGGAGAGAAACATGGGATGATAGGAATCGATCAAGGCCTTAATGCCATCGAGATTAGAACAAAAACATCGACAGTACCACTGTAACAAAGTGTCCATTTTTATTTATGTGGAGGAGAATTGGATGGAGAACCTTTTGCTTTACCACCATGCTGCTTTTCTCTACTAGAATGAGGTCTATCCACCTCCATGGATCCTGCCCTTGGTCGAGTGGGCAGATCTCTTTCATCAGACTTAGAATCCTACATGTTGGGGCCAAAGAGAAGGACCCTAGGGGACACTGGAGGGCTATTACCATAGGAGGTGGACCCCAGTAGTTGCTGGAATGAATGGCAGGGACAGAGATTGGAGTAGATGTCGACTGGTCAACTCTGTTATCCATTGAGGGCAGAAGACTCCTCACATGACGCGAAAAAGACTCAGATAGAGGCATAGAAAGGTCCATCTGCACTCCCACCATAGCAGTGGAGCGTAGCACAGTGGCATGTGTCCGAGATGGAGTAGAAAACAATATCTTCTGGGCCTCGGAGTAAGAAATGTTGCTAACAGTCTTCAAATGCTGTACCACTTTCTTCTCCATCCACTTATGGCAAGACCTAAAGTAAGATGGGTGGAAACCACTACAATTAACAGAGTGAGGGTCTAGTTCACACTCGTAGGCGTCGTGGTCCTTGCCACCGTAAAGAGCACATGTCACAGAAACACGACAAGATGTTTTCGAATTACCGAATCGCTGGCACTGGAAACATCAGAGAGGGTTGGGAATATATGGCTGTACCTTACAGTTCAAATAACTTGCCTTGACAGCAGCAGGTGCACGTGGTAATAATGTAAACGCCAAACTGAGAAGATTGGTAGGCAGCATAATTCCGTCTTTACGAATGCAGAAACT